CACTGTTCATTCATGCCCAATGTAGGCGTCCAAGTCGACACTTGTCACGTTTCGGCAACAAGTGAAAAGTTCGTCGGTTGAAGTAAATGATGCCTATTCAATAAATCCATTTAGGAGGGACGACTTCATTTTCTTAATCTCCACATCTACGGAAGTCATCTGAGCCCAGAAGAGAATATAGTGATTCCAAAGTTTGTAATTTCATTTAACCATCATTGTGTCGAAGCCATAATGCGTTTGAATGCTCATTCTTGGCGTTTCGTTAGAACAACTGTCTTCATGCCGCACAACAACAGGCCTTCTTCACTTTGAAACGTTGGAAGACTTTTGAATTTCCAGTTTTGTGTGTGGATATACGCTAACCTGCACTAACTTTACCTGCTGACTGAAAGTTAACGTCCAAAACGAACAAACACTGAGAACTACCGTTGACTAGCTTCTTAAAATGCTCAGACAATCTTGTGAAGCGTTTATTGAGTTGTGCAAATATTATACCGCTGCATCCTGGATACGTATAGATCGAGTCACCTGCTTCCTGGACATACTCCTTGGACCACTATCGCCATTCGTTCTTTGTAGCTGCCATATCAATCTATCTAGTTGCCCCTTCAGCAAAGTTCCGTTCCACACGTAGTTACTGCTTAATGTACGAACGAGATGGCGACGGATTACTTTCCAGGATGTAATAGCATGATGCAAGCATTCTTTCTTAATGTTACCGTTAGAGTGGTCTCATAACCCAGGCCAGTTAGGCTGTCCTCCAACTGACCCCAGCAACGTTCGCCGCAAGAGAAATGAATCCATCTTTTAAGTCTAGGAAAGCTTCATAGACCTGTGCTACTTTCCAAAGTAGGAACAATAAAGAGGGCATTAAAAATATTTTCTATCCATTTTTAGGCAGAATGACCGCGCCGCTTCGTAATACTTCAGGATGTTAACATCGATAACGTAATGCGTTCCCACCAGATGACGCACATGGGGAACAGCTAAGTAACAGTCGAAGTTCGGCTACGGTACCTGGTATATGGTAACTGCACGCAACGTAGGCGTCACGACTGACGCGAGTCTCGGGTAACCAGCTGCAATACTTGCAGTTGATCTGAATGTAATCTTTAGGCTTCCTTCCAGGAATATGTAGATGGTGCAGTTAATTCACTTATGAGGGAATAGGGTCCTGCCGACAATCAAACTATTTCTCATGCAGCGGCTCAACGTGCACCTGCCGTTGCCACCCGTAATGTCAATTCTGTGACAGCAAAGTAT